AATTCTTTCTCTTTTTTATGACTATTTAAATCAGTAAAAACAACAAACAAACAAATCCTAATATGTGTTATCGAGGACTGAAAAATGAGAAATAATTTTGTTCTTCATTTCGTTAAATTACAGATAATTATGAATAAAATCACTGAAAAAAGTATTAATTTACAAGGTGACTTTTTTTTTTTTTTTTTTTAAAAAGGCTTAAACTGTAAATAACGTCCACATAAAACAATCTGTTGTATTTTTACAAATGATAATTAAGTCTTTTAATCTTCTACATTGTTTGAATGGCAAATTATTAATAATTAGTTGTTTTTTTTTTTTTACTGTATTTAAATCAGCAGTTATTTGAAAGAAAAAATACGTATATTGAGGACTGAAAAATTGCAAACCATTTTTTTTTTTTTAGCTGATACTTTAGTTTTTCCCTGCTTGGTAAAAATACAGATAAAATCCAGTAAAATCACAAAAAAGTTGTCATTTACACGTTGACTACAAAACAGTAAAAAACAGTCAAAACTGTAAAAAAAAAATTTTTTTAAAAACTGTATTTTCTTAAATAGCATTCACTTTTTAAAAATGGGTGACCATAACATTTTTGTTTTACTATAGTTAAAACAGCTTAAAATATCAAATATTAGGCCCCTGATGATTTAAAATGGAATAATCCAGAATCCGTCGATAACGAGAGAAGCAGGTCTTTTTGAATCCCAAACCAAAAGCCGCTGTTTTATATTCCATTTATATTTATTGCTTAATATTCAGCTCCACTTTACCTTCATAAACCCTGTATTTATTCCTGCAGCATCACAATCTGCACAACTACATGTTTGCACATATTTGAAGCTGCACATAGCAGATAAACACTCATGTTCTGTTCTTGAAGCCTTTGTTTAAATGAAGTGTGTTTTTGTGTGAGTAAATTAAAAAATAATAATTTACTGTAATCAGATTTTGTAACAAACTAAAAAACAAACGTCTGCTCCACATGCGCCCCTGTGACCTGTACTGGTGGTTATTAGGATGTAATGAGGATCCCTGTCAGCTGCTGAGACACACACCAGGACAGACACCACCTTCCTGTCGGCTCGGGGAGGACGCTGACGTGTAAATCAGCTCCCGGTGACTCACACCGACTCCGGCAGCCACCAGACAGAAACCGGCCTCGCTGCCATTTGTCAAAGTCGCCGCTGCTTCTTCTTCCCGCCAGCAGCCAACGAGACGCCGGGGATTTGAGCGTCTAACAGAGAATCACTGCTGCTGCCTCTGTTGTGCTGCTCGGGCTGAGCGATGGGATGGAAACGGTCTCCACGGCCACGGCTCCCCCCACCGCTGGACATTAAACGTAGTCCTGCACAATCGAGCGTTTCACCGGAGATAATATATATCCACCGGAGTGATTTCCTCACATTATAAACTGTGCAGGCATTTCAGCCACTTCTTCACGTCACTGCTGAACCGGTCGGGGGTTAAACACGGAGCGATGGACATTGATTGGATGCTTGGCTCGGCTAACAGTGGTCACCGGCTGCTGTCACACACACTCAATCTCTATTTCCCTGTCACACACA